TCTTCTCTTCTCTTCTCTCTCCCCTTCCTTTCCCTTTCTTTTTTCTTTTCTTGTCTTGTCTTCTCTTTCTCTTCTCCTATTCTCTTCTTTTTCCCATTCTATTCTGTTCCGTTCTATTCTATTTATTCTGATTTACAAAGCTACAGGGGCCAAAACAAAACATCCACCATCCTCGTGTCACACCCAAGAAAAAAGGAGCCTTTTGACAGAAGCAGTTCCCCACCTAGGGGAACCTACCTTTGCGTGCTGAAGAAAATGCTCCCATCGGTTCTTCACCGCTTTCTCTCTATTGATCGTTTTCATGCAACTTTTCCCGCCACCGTAGTCCCTGAGAAAGAGGGGATTTCGTCTGCTTTCCATATCTTATGCAGAGGTTCAGTCATCCAGGTCGTGGTCGGTGCTTTTTCAAGAGGCAACTGGGCCTTCTGTTTTTCCTTCGAAGACGTTTCGCTTCTCATCCCAGAAGCATCTTCGCTTCTGAAGAAGAGCTGAACGGAGAACTGAAGAAGCTTCTTGGATGAGAAGTGAAATGCCTTCAAGGAAAAACCGAGCAAGTCCAGTTTGCCTTTTGAAAAAGCAACAGCAACCATCCACGGTCATACAAAAACGGGAGCAGTTAATTCCAGTTAATTCTACTTCTTCTTGAGTAGTTTCCCTCCATTGTTTCTTGCCTTGCCCTCTGGTGATTTGGAAAATAAGTTGACTTCCCTCCTTCTTCTTTGTGGCAGCTCCTCAAATATTGGAATCCTTCTATCCTGTCACTCCTAGTCCTTCTTTTGTCTGGACTAGCCAAACCCATTATTCATGTGCTTTAGCCTCCAGGCTTTTAATCCTCTTAATTGCTCTTCTTTCACACTTTTTCCAAAGCCACAACATCCTTTTTGTAGTGTGGGGACCCAAACTGGATGCTGAATTCCAGGTGTGGCCTCACTACTGGCTCGTGTTTAAGGGATCATCCCCGCTGGGTCTCTAAGGCTTTTTAAAACAAGCTATTTTTTCCCCCTTTCGGTGGATCATGAATTGGCCCAACCCAGTTCCTGCCACCCTCCTTCATACGCCCTCCGTCGTCTCAGCGGCTCCTCTCTGCAACTTTTCGGGGCTCTTAACCTGCTCCAGCTCCGAAGACCTACTTGGGGTTCCAACAGGTGATCAAGGGCTTCATGCTACTGCTGGGGTCCAGCGTCAGAGCTTCCAGGAGCCAGTTGAGGGCGCAGAGCTGGCGGAAGATGGAGTCGCTGTTGAGACAGAGAAAGGCAGACGGGCGGATTGACAGCGGGAAAAACAACAATGACAGTAACAACCACCAGGGAAGGGGCAGAGTCCGGGTGGAAGCAAAGTGACCCCCAACATGGAGGAAAACCTGAAGCTCATAGATGCACGCCCAAGTTTGGCGGTCATCGATTTCTCTCATTCCTCTCACCGGAGCTGCCTAATTTACTATCATCCTCGCCCGCCCTTTGCTGGAGAGATGCCTGTGGAAATTGGGCCCCCCGTTTCTAGAGTAAAGGGGGAACCTGCCTTGTGGATTTTTTACAAGTTCCTGGGAAATAATTAGGGAATTTGGCATAACGGAAGGCTGAATTGGAGCAACTAGGAAAGCTGGATCCAACACCTTTCACTCTCTCCCTCCACCTCCCTTTCCTTCCCTCCCTCCCTCTTTCCCTCCTTCTCTCTTCTTCCTTCTTCTCCCTTTCCCTCTCTCTCTCTCCCTCCCTCCCTCCCTCCCTCTTGTCCTCTCGTGCTCTCTCTCCAATCTCCCTTTCCTTCCATCCCTCTTTTCCTTTCCCTCCTTCTCTCTTCTTCGTTCTCCTTCCCTCTCTCTCCCTCCCTCCTTCTTGCCCTCTCGTGCTCTCTCTCTCCAATCTCCCTTTCCTTCCCTCCCTCTCTCCATTTCTCCCTCCCTCCCTCTCCCTCTCTTGCTCTCCCTCCCTCCTTCCCCACCTTCTTCTCTTTTTTTAAACAAACAGGAGCCCAGGGCAGATTTTACCCCCTTTGTGAGACAGAATTAGAGAGAGAGAGAGAGAGAGAGAAATATATATATATATAAGGTGAGTGGCTGAACCTACAAATGCGCCTCTGGATGCTTTTGTGACAGCAAGCCATAATGGATGGGGGTGAAAGGCCGGGCCATTTTCTTCTTCTTCTTCTTTTCCGTCTCGCTCACCAAGAAGCCTCCTGTTAAAAAGAACCTGGAGAGAGAGGGTGGGGGAGGGAGAGAAGGAGAGAGAGAGAGAGAGAGAGAGAGAGAGAGAGAGAAAGAAAGAAAGAAAGAAAGAAAGAAAGAAGAAAGAAAGAAAGAAAGAAAGAAAGAAAGAAAGAAAGAAAGAAAGAAAGAAAGAAAGAGAAAGAGACAGAAAGAAAGAAAAAGAAAGAAAGAAAGAAAGAAAGAAAGAAAGAAAGAAAGAAAGAAGGAAGGAAGGAAGGAAGGAAGGAAGGAAGGAAGGAAGGAAGGAAGGAAGGAAGGAAGGAAGGAAGGAAGGAAGGAAGGAAAGAAAGAAAGAAAGAAAGAGAAAGAAAGAAAGAAAGAAAGAAAGAAAGAAAGAAAGAAAGAAAGAAAGAGAGGGAGAAAGAGAGAGAAAAACAGAGAGCTAAGATTCTGGGAACCCCCAAATCCCACTCTTGGCTGGCCCCACCCCACCCCACCCGGAGTCCCCATGTGGCCCATTTTGGATGCAGGTAAGTGCAGGGAGGCTCGGGGAGGGTGAAAAACGGGCCTCCCAGAAGTTCAGGAGGGCCAGAAATGGGCCCGTTTCCGGCTTCCAAAGAGCCTCCGGAGCCCAAGGAAGGCTGTTTTCATCTTCCCAGAGACTCAAGGAAAGCCTCCGGAGTCCAGAGAGGGGATAAAAACACACACACACCCCTCCCGCTGTGATGCAGGAGGCCGACTAGGCCACGCCCACCCTGGCCACACCCACCCAGCCACCAGGCAAAGAACCCGTTGCTAAAATGTTGGAAGCCCACCCGTGGCTTGGACCCCTGGCTTGGGTGCGTTGGAATCAAACTAGCTTGGGGGCTACATCTAGCTTGGGGGTTGGTCCTAATGAGGGATGAGGCTTTTGAGCATGAGTTGTCCAGTGGTTGCGTCCAACTCTTCACAAACCCACGGGCCACCACACGCACCAGCCTCCCCCACATCCTCCACTATCTCCTGGAGTTTGCCAACGTTCATATTCAGTGCCTTGAGGTCGCCATCTAACCAGCTCATCCTCCGCCCTCCCCTTCTCCTTCTGCCTTCTACCTTTTCCCAACCTCATCAGGGCCTTTTCCAAGGAGTCCTCTCTCTTTCTCTCCTTAGTTGGAGGCCAAAGTAGTTGAGCTTCAGCTTCAGAAATCTGTTGAGCACAGGTAGGAACCTATCTCAGCCCAAAAGGCCACCCTCAGGAAGATACCTATTCTAGGTATACACTGACATAAGTGTTGTACCTTATGATGCTTGGCGAATGTACCTTTTCTTTCTAAGTACACTGAGAGCATATGCATCAAGGCAAATTCCTTGTGTGTACAATCACACTTGGCCAATAAAGAATTCATTCATTCATTCATTCATTCATTCATTCATTCACATCAATAAAAACAGATGGGAGATGATTGTGGATAGCAGCGGTTTATAACTTCTGCTAGAGATGCTGTCCCCGGCCAGGTTTTTCCTCAAGCTTGGCTACTTAAAATGCTAATTCCCCATCCAGGTGTTTCTCCACCTTGGACACTTTGAGGTGTGTGAACTTCTTTAACTCCCAGAATTCCCCATCCAGGTGTTTCTCGACCTTGGCAATTTTAAGGGTGTGTGGATTTTAACTTAAATTCCAAAGCCGGGGGTTTCTCGACCTCGGCCACTTTTAAGCCTTGTGGACTTCAACTCCCAGAATTCCCCAGTCAACCTTGCACCTGAATGTAAAATTAGACCTGGTCCAACCACCCGTTTTCAGCCTAGAAAGCTTCCAATTCCTGTTGTCCACAGTCAAGGTGGTAAGAGCCGGGTGAGGTCAAAGCCCAAAGCAGCTACTCCGGGGAGGAGAGGCCATCAGTCAACGAAGCAGGAGGGAGGTTGAGAGCACCTACTCGGGCTCAGATTCGGAGTCTTCCTCCGAGGATGAGGATGAGTAGCGAGGGGGCTGAAATTCCATTCTTCTCTTCTCTGCCTCCTTCCGCTGTTCCAGGCTGGATACGTTCCTCCTCTTGATGGACTCTCGGCGAAGGCTATGGAAATATCCCCGCCCGATCTTCACCGAGTTGATGAGATGCCTGCGGAAAAGGATCAGATGTGAAACAAGGCGGAAAGTGGACGCGACTCTCCAAGCACGGTTGCTCGCCTAGTGCAACGAGAGCTACCCCATTTCCCCACCCCCGGCTGGTCACGTTGTCTAAGGAGGAGACGTCTGTTTGTTATGGGAACAGCCCATCTCTTTCTCCAGCACCTGCAGGGGTGACCTTGATGATTTCCACGCGCTCACAAATCTCCTCGTTCATTCTCAGCATTTCGTTTTTCTGGTTCATTGGCAAGTTGAGACATATTAAAACTTCGAAAGAAGCCAAGCGGTTCGATCGTGACCATTCCGGTATTTGAGGGGCTGCCCCCCCAAAAAATAAGGGGCGGGTTGGTCAACTTATTTTCCAAAGCACCAGACGTCAAGACAAGAAACAATGGATGGAAACGAACCAAGGAGAGAAGCAATCTGGAGCTAAGGAGAAACTTCCTAACAGTGAGGACAATTAACCGGCGGAACAGCTCGCCACCAGAAGTTGTGGGTGCTTCATCCCTGGAGATTTTAAAGAAGAGATTGAACAACCATTTGTTTCGAATGGCCTAGCGTCTCCTACTTGGACAGGGGCTGGACTAGAAGACCTCCAGGGTCCCTTCCAGCTGATTGAATTCTAGGTAGCTGCATGGTGAATTGGCCATGGTGAGTTGGCCATGGTGAGTTGGCCATGGCAAGTTATTGTAGACCCCATTAAGAGCTCCAAAATTTTATTTATTTATTTGATTTGATTTGATTTGTCAATCACAAGATAATAGGTATAAGAATAAACATGAGTATGAATACAGGAAATAGGTATAAATAAATGGGGACAATAGGAGAGGGACTGTAGGTGCAATTGTGTGCTTATGCACACCCCTTACAGACCTCTTAGGAATGGGTATTCTCTCTTTTCCTTTCCTTTCCTTTCCTTTCCTTTCCTTTCCTTTCCTTTCCTTTCCTTTCCTTCCTTCCTTCCTTCCTTCCTTCCCCCTCCCTCCCTTTTTTCTCTCCTCACTCCCTTCTTTTCTCTCCTTCCTTCCTTCCCCTTCCCTATTCTCCTTCCTTCCTTCTTTATTTATTTGATTTGTCAATCGCTTACAAGGTAATAGGTATAAGCATAAACATGAGTAAGAATACAGGAAATAGGGACGAATAAATGGGGACAATAGGACAGGGACAATAGGCACAATGGTGCACTTATGCCCCGCCCCTTACTGACCTCTTAGGAATGAGGTGAGGTCAATAGCGGATAGTTTGAGGTTAAAGGTTTGAGGATGTAACTACAGAACCAGGTAGTGCATTCCAGGCATTGACCACTCTGTTGCTGAAGTCATATACTTTCTGCAATCAAGTTGGGAGTTGTTTACTTTGAGTCTGTATCTGTTACGTGCTCTTGTATTGTTGCGGTTGAAGCGGAAGTTTTTTGGGCTGCGGCCGCAATATATTGGCACGGCCCTCGTTAAAATGCAAATGCGTTTAAAGCAAACTCTTTGCAATACATCTATTAGAGTAATTGAGCACCGACCAACCGTATGTTGCAAACACACATTTCCTGCCACCTGCCAGACAAGGGCAGTGTCTTCCTTCTGAATGAATAACCTTGTCAGCGGAGGGGCGAAAAAAAACAAAGAGCTTTTCTCGAGAGCTGATCATTTTCAGCCGCAGAAATCCCCAGCTGCTTTACGGAATGAAATTAATGTAGATAAAGGTCAGCCTTGTGCTGCTGCCCAATAAAAATGACCCATCGAGGAAGGAAGTGTAGAAGTTGACTGTAAATGCATTTTTGGGGAGCGGTTCGTCGAGCTTGAGACCTGGGTTTCATTACGTTTTAAACCCGAGCGATTTGTTAATTCCAACAGAGGTTTTTTGACCAAGGATCGAGGTGAACGTTTGCTTCAGGTCTGGAGACACAATGTCAACTATATTTAAAGATGAAATGCAAGCAAAGGCGATCGATTCCCTTCAGCTCAGTGGGAAGCCTCAATGGGGCTTTAATGAAAATTTCAAGAAGTGCCAGCCCTCCCCTGCTCTTCATATCCTGCATTGCCTTTAAATTTATTCTAGGTTTTTTCCCTTGCCAGATAAATTTTACAGTTATTTTATTAAGTTCTCCAAAAAAAGAAGCTTGTGTACTTTGATTGGGATCGTCTGAAATATATATAGGAATTTTGGAAGAATATTCATTTTAATAGCAGCAATCCTGCCTAATAATGAAAGTTGCAGCTTGCCCCATGTTTCTAAATCCTTCTTTACCTGTTGCATTAATTTATCATAATTATTTTCCTTAAGTGTCTTACAATGTGCTGTCAACCATATTCCTAAGTATTTAACTTTATCACTTGTATTCCCGTAACTTCTTCTAGTTCTATTTTCTGTTTTTCTGTTAAATTTTTAGTCATTAATTTTGTTTTCTTCCTATTAATTTTAAGTCCTGCTACTGCTCCAAATTGTTCTAATTCATTCATCAATTTTTGTCCTCTTTCTATTGGTTCTTCAATGAAAAAAATCATATCATCCGCAAACGCTTGCAACTTATATTCTTCTTTCTTAACCTTTAATCCTTTTAGGTCTGGGTTCTGTCTAATTCGCATTAGTAATGCTTCTAATGATAATATGAAGAGCAGGGGTGAGAGTGGGCAGCCCTGTCTGACTCCTTTTTCTATTTTTATTGGGCGGGTATATTCCCCGTTTATTATATTAGCCTATTGTGTATCATCAAATGATCGTTAATATTTTCAAATTTGGTGCCTAAATTCATATTATAAATTTTTTGGATTAAAAATTGCCAATTTAAATTATCGAAGGCCTTCTCTGCATCTAAAAACATAAGTGCAATTTGTTTTTCGGGGTGGGCTTCGTAAAATTCTAAGACATCTAGTACTATTCTTAAGTTGTTCCCGATTTGTCTGGTCGGGAGAAATCCATTTTGATCTTCAAGTATATGCTCATTTAACATTCTTTTTAGTCTACCTGCTATAATAGAAGTAAATATTTTGTAATCAGTATTTAACAATGAAATTGGCCTATCATTTTGTATATATCGGGGATCCGAATCTTCCTTCGGGATCAGCGAAATCAATGCCCCCCTCCATGAGTCCGGCATCCCGGCCGCCAAGGGATCTTCCAACTGCCAAGGGATTTTTCCTTAGTTCTAGGTTGTTCTCTCCTTGACTGCCCCAATTCAAGAATAAACTTTGGATGTTTGCAAGGGTGAGTGATCAATAGGGAGGAACAAGACAGAGAATCAGTTGTGATTGATTGGCGACGTTGACGCTTCACTGAAGTGTCTTCACTAAACGTTACTTTGCAAACCGGACAGCCGCTGTCGATGGAAAGAACATCTCCGCTCATCCGCGAAGCGGCTCACTTAAAAGAAATATCTGGCCCAAACATAAATCCGAGTTGCCATAAAATTAAACCACCTCGGTCTTCTTCCCCGTTACTTCCTTGGATCACCCCAGGAAGAAGTGCCTCGGTGGACATCATAATTCCCCTGAAGGGAATATTTTGATTTATTTATGAAAAGTTTTGAAACAAATCAACCAACAGAAGTGGCAGGTATGGAAGTAGGAAAGGGGGAAAGGGGCGGGGGGGAAGGATAAAAAATAACAAAATGTCAGAAATAAAAAGGGAGGCTGCCATGACTGGGAAATCCAAAATTATGTATTTCGTAATGAATGGAGCGTACTGGAATATGGTATCAGGTTGTTTTAAAGAAAACGACTGGGAATCTCTACCAAACTCAGGGCAGGATGTTGGTATCATTAATCCGTCATTATTTCGAGGATAAAGGCATGGACAGGTGATCCTCGACTTACGACCACAGCTTGAGACCAACATTTTTATCGCCGAGAGTCATTAAGTGAGTTTTGCCCCATTGTACAAGCGTGACTAGAACTCACCATCTCCTGGGGATTGGACCAAAGCTACCTAGCTAGTTTTCACGCTTAAAGGTGGGACTAGAACTCACCGTTTCCTGGTGATTGGCCCAAAGTCACCCAGCTGGCTTTTAGGGTGAAGGTGGGACTAGAATTCACCATCTCCTGATGATTTCACTCTAGAGCTAATGAGAAGCCTTTTATTTCCTTTGTGTATGCTCTCTGAAAAAGCAATGAAAAGAGAAAGAGAAAGAGAGAGAGAGAGAGAGAGAGAGAAAGAGGGAGGAAGAGAGGAAAGGAGAAAGAAAAAAAAGAAAGAGAGAGAAAGAGAAAAAGAGAGAGAGGAAGAGAGGGAGGGAGAGAGAAAAAAGAGAGGGAGAGAGAGAGAAAGAAAAAGAGAAGAGAGAGAGCTACGCATGTGTGTATATGTGTATGTGTATATGTGTGTGTATATATATATATATATGGTTCATAGTTGAAGGTTAGTTTCTGGGCATTGGTCTGTGTTTTCCTACCTCATCTGTGCAAGGTCTCTGGGCAGGGTTCTTAAATCCTTCTCTATATGTCGAATAGGCAAAAGTTTCTTCTCTGGTTCCAGGACCTAAATAAACAAAAATAAAATGGAAAAGGAAACCGCAATTCAGAAGAACCACTTCTTAATTTTCCCTCTACTTCGGGAACGACTGAGCAACGGAAAATGACCCGAAGAAGCGGCTATACCCAACGTGTTTCCTCTCAGCCTAAATTCTGGGAATTTTTTTATTTTTTATTTTAAAAATAAAGAGGGGAGTGGGGAAACTTTGCAATGGAGTTTCCCTAGCAATGTTTTAGCCATTTTGGACATTATCTTGACTTGTTTGGAACCCTGTCCTACGGACATTCCTGCCCGCAGGACCAGCTAATCCAACATTTCATGGATTGGGATTAAAACTTACCTTTGGCTTCAACTTCTTGAAAAACTCAGTTTCCACCGTTTCGGCTAATTCTTCCAGAGCAACTTCCTCTTTGTAGACATCCTGAAGTAAGAGGCAACAGGTTGGTTGGTGGGCACGTCATCTTGGCGTAAAGAATCAGTGGGGGGGGGGGGGGGAATCACCCAGGACATGATATTGAT